CTAAAGCAGCTCTGATATTCTCACTAAAAAAATCATGAGATGAGAGCAAATAAACAGCTTCTCTTCAAGCAAAGTGGCAACGGTGTGTACTTAAGGTGGAAATAGTTCTCTGTTAATTAACCTGTTAGGTGAAATATTACGATTCTCAAAAACTCCCAGAGGATGAAGTACAGAGAAGCACTTCTTAGCCCTTAAGCTAAACCATCAAAACAGAATTATAGAGAATCCTTTTGTCTTACTCAACACAGTCTGTAGTACACAGGATAATGTGCTCCTTACAATGCTTCAATTGTGACACAGTGGAAAAATGACTTATTTCCGAGAACATTTTCAGCCTTTGGAATGTCTTTGGAGTCTCAGAAAGTCAAAGGAAATCTACTATTGTTTGCTTGCCTGAGTTTATGCCCATTGTGTTTAAACAGAATAAACTCATTTTCAAATTTCTTTGCATAGAACGCAAAATGCTAGCTGAGCTAAAACATTGTGCTAATCTTAAGGAGAACTTTGGTGATTGCAGCAGAACTGGCTAGTGTTATTATATTAAAACATGTTCATCATAGCAAGTCTAAGTGTTTTAAACTTGTCTCATGGTGTTCTCTTCAATGAAGTCTGAAGCTACATAATCACAATTTTTTTTGTATTTGTTGAGTGTGGCTCTGTCCTTGAGCTTTTCTCCTCAAGGCTAGTGCTCTATCACTTGAGTGAAAGCACTTCCAGGTTTGTGTGGCTAACTGGAGTTAAAAGTTTTAGGGAATTTCCTGCCTGGGTTCGTTTTGAACAGTGATCCTGCTAGTATTCAAAGCATGACCCACTGGCTCCTGGCATCTTATAGCTTTTAAAAAGAGCACTTCCTTCCTTCCTTCCTTCCTTCCTTCCTTCCTTCCTTCCTTCCTTCCTTCCTTCCTTCCTTCCCTCCTTCCTTTCTTCCCTCCTTCCTTCCTTCCTTCTATCCTTCCTTCCTGTCTTCCTTCCTTCTTTCTACCTCCATTCCTCCATTTTCTCCTCCTTTCCCTTTGGCTGAACAGTCGTCCTGTGCCCCCTTTTTCTCCTCTTGCTCCCTTCTATTCCCAGAATAGAAGAGTCACCTTTTCTATGCTAATTAATTTTGAATATTCACAATTACTAAATGAAACCAGTAGGAAAGAAAAGCAAAATAGTCACTTGCCTTGATATCCCTCCCTCTGCCTAACTGCCTTCTGTGTAGTCTCACTGATCTCTTCCTGGAGCTCCTGGAAGAAGTACTCTGGGTTTGTGTTGACTGAGTAACTGATATAGGCAGGTGCATTAAGTTAGATTTTGTGGTTTCACCTCCAGCCCAACAGGTAATACAGAGAACAGGGTGTGGAATCGTGATGTTCAACTAGGCCTCATGAACATTGTCAAAAGTATCATTTGAAATCATTTTAAAGGTTCACTGTTGTCATTACCTGTGTATCAATATGAGAAAAATGAAGAACAGAAGGAACACATTGAGGATCTGGGAGAGAATTATTATGGAACAGGGCATTTTTTAATGACTCCCTTCCAAAGATCCTTAAGTATAGTCTATCCTAAGCCCATTCTTTATTTCTTTTATTCCTTTTTGCTGCTGCTTCTTGTTCTTCTCATTTTTCTTTTCTTCTTCCTGTTTCTGTAGTTAACTAATTCAGTCTCTCTCTCTCTCTCTCTCTCTCTCTCTCTCTCTCTCTCTCTCTCTCTCTCTCTCTCTCTCACCATTCTAGTATTGGGATTCAGCTCAAGTCTCACAGTTCCTAGGCAAGTACCATTTGAACAATGCCTCTAGCACATTCTTGGCTTGGGTGTGTTGTGTGTGCACACACGCACATGTGCGCATGTATGTGTAAATTTTCACTTTCTCCCTTTATTCTTTAATTACCTCTCATCGCTAAAACCACTGAACCCATCTCCTCTTCCTGGTAGTTATTTTGATAAACAGTTTGTTGATTTGGATTAATTTTGGGAGTGTCTGATTTTATGACCAGCCTGGACTGTTATTCTCCTGTATTTCCTTTTGTCACTAGGCTGACAAGCAAGTGCCATTGTGCCCAGCCATAGTGCTTTCTCCGTAGTTTGGGATAACAGGCTTACACCACCACAGCCCTTCATTGTTGAGATGGAGTATTATGTACTTCTATGCTCAGGCTGGCTTTGAATTACAATCCCTTAATATCTGTTTCCGAAGTGGCTAGTATTATAATTTATGGATCCCTGACTGAATTTTAAAGCCTACTTGCACCTTAAATTTTGTATAGTTACTAATTTTAAATTACAGAACTCAGGGTCTTCAAAGGATTTAGCATTCAGTACCCGTTACTAGACACTGGAGAGTCCTTGATTCTGTGTAGCTCTTTACATTGTCACTTAATGATGTCTTCTACAGGGAACTGAGCCTGGTGCCTCAAGACACCGGGACTGAGAGCCTGAGGTATTTCAGATGCTCACAAATCCCTGCCAGCAGGGAGGCTTACTGGATTCCACCCACAAAGTAGTACTTTATGGAACTTGGAGGAAAAGAACTAGACCTACTCAGGATCCCATGATTTTTCAACTCCCTGACTCCACAAAAGCAAGCAGAAAACTCAGAGCCAGTAACAGCTTTCTCCTTAGGGGTCCAAAAATCCCAAAATGTTTAGTAAACACCTCTATCTTTATGTTGACTCATTTTTTTTGTTTGAATGACAAGAAATGTTTCAGGTTACTTACAAACGAAGATATCTACATACTTATACTCCCAGCCCAAAGCTGATGTTCAAACCTCAATAGCTCTCTCCTATAGCACCCATGTTTCCATATTCACTAACTTCCCTTGTAAAACCTGCATTATTTTGTTGGAATTATTTTATTTAAAATTGTATCATTTTTACTGTTTTATATTATTATACCTGGTAAAAATCATACTACACAGCAATTGAGAGGATGGAATACTTTATCATTCACAAATATTTCCTTTCTAAATAGTAGTCTATCCTCTGGTTTGATTCAAGAAATGCAGATTTGAGATGGTATAACTTGCATCCAATTTTTTTGTTCATGTACTGGTATTGGGAAATGCAAATGTTTTTAAGTTCTGGAACTAATGTCATTTAAAAATGTGAAGACACAGCTGGGAAGGTGGCTCAGTGGTAGAGTGCTTGCCTTGCATACCTGAGGCCCTGGGTTTTATTCCTAAGCACCACATAAGCTGAAAAAGCCAGAAGTGGAGCTCTGGTCAAGTAGCAGAGAGCTAGTCTTGAGCTAAAGAGCTAAGGGACAGTGCCAGGCCCAGAGTTCAGGCCCCACACCAACCAAAACTAAATAAAAATAAATAAAAAATGTGAAGACAGAATGGGGAGCACATGAGGAATTCCTACAAATGGGGTACAGGAAGCTCCTGCTGGTAATCTTACCTATTCCAGAAAGTAAGATGCAGAAGATCATACTTCAAGGCCCACCCAGACAGATAAGTCTAAGATATTCTACCTCCAATTAAACATCAAAAAGCTGGACTAGAGACATGGTTCAAGTGGTAGACCACTGGCCAAGCAATCAAACAAGTATGAAGACCCCTGAATTCAAACCTTTGTACTTACTTCAAGTTACTTCATCTCCCATTGTGGATGCTGCTGCAAGCATAACGTGGTTCAGTGATGAATTAGGGTCACCAGAGCCTGCTAGTCTGCAGTTTTTGTGCCAGTTTTCACAAGTGTGGCAGTGTGAAAACACTATGTGAGTCACTACAACAGGCCTGCTGGGGAGTAATGGCAGGGTTCACTGCAGGCACAGGTGATGTTGTGGCCACATGTCCTGACTGCATGATGATGTCACGAGGACGTCGTGGTGCCACCAAATGAGGCCAGACAGACAACCAAACAGATTTTGGGCATATCCAAGATAGTGCTAGGGCACTAGCACTAGGTGGATGGCCAGTATTTGTTGCAGAAGTGGCCTGGTTCAGGGATGAATTAGTGTCATGAGGGCCTGTGCGTCTGGAGATTTTCTTGCCAGTAGTTTTCTGTCTGGCAGTGTTGCAAACACCATAAGAATCACTACAAGAGGTGTGCTGGGGAGTATTATCAGCGTTCACTGAAGTCACAGGCATGGACATGCCCATAAGTCCTGTTTGTATGTTGGTGTCATTAGGTGGTTGCATTGTAGGCACAGTTAAGCCAATAATTGGTGTTTGCAAGGGTACTGGTTGGCTCAGAGACAAACTGTCAGACTGTCCATTGAAGACTCCAGTGGTGGGGTGTGGAAGGGCACCAGCACTAGATGGATGGCCAGTGTGTGGGCTTGGCCCCGGCATGTGCTGGGATTGTATAAACTGATTGTAGGAGTCCTGTTGGTTAGAAATAATGTCACTGTGTGGCACATGGGCATGAGCAGGATGGGCCTGGTTCACTACAGAGAGGTTGTTTGTCAAGATGGGAGGAGATGGAAAGATTGAAACCTCTGAAGGAGATGTTGTATCCATCATGTTATCGTCATCGCCCATGGATAATTTCATTGGTGGGGAAGAGCCACTTCCATGAATAAGGACAACTGCTTGGTCCATGTTGGGGAAGACTGGAGGAGCAGAAGATATCGGAAGAGAGGAATTGTGCATTTAATGCACAACAGGGATCACATTGATGGAGTCATTAGGTGGTTGCATTGTAGGCACAGTTAGGTCAATAACTGGTGTTTGAAAGGATACTGGTTGGCTCAGAGAGAAATTGTTGGATTGCCCACTGAAAACTCCAAGTGTGGGGTCTGGAAGGGCACTAGCACTAGGTGGATGGCCAATATTTGTTGCAGGAGTAGCTTGGATCAGGGATGTATTAGTGTCATGAGAGCCTGTGCGTCTGGAGATTTTCTTGCCAGGAGTTTTCTGTCTGGCAGTGTTGCAAACACCAGAAGAGTCACTACAAGAGGTGTGCTGGGGAGTAATATCAGCGTTCACTGCAGGCACAGGCATTGGCATGGCCATATGTCCTGTTTGTATGTTGGTGGCACTAGATGGTTGCATTGTAGGCACAGTTAGGTCAATAATGTGTTTGTAAGGGTACTGGTTGGCTCAGAGACAAACTGTCAGGTTGTCCATTGAAGACCCCGACGGTGGGGTGTGGAAGGGCACCAGCACTAGATGGATGGCCAGTGTGTGGGCTAGGCCCCGGCATGTTCTGGGATTGTATAAACTGACTGTGGGAGTCTTGGTTGCTGGAAATAATGCCACTGTGTGGCACATGGGCAGGAGCAGAATGGTCCTGGTTCACTACAGAGAGGTTGTTTGTCAAGACGGTTGGAGATGGATAGATTGAAGCCTCTGAAGGAGGTGTTGTATCCATCATATCATTGTCCATGAATAGTTTCGTTGGTGTGGAAGAACAATTTTCAGGAATAGGGACAATTGCTTGCTCCATACTGGGAAGAACCCGAGGTCCATAACATATCGGAAGACAGGGATTGTGCAACTGCTGCACAAGAGGGATCACATTGACAGAGTCATTAGGTGGTTGCATTGTAGGCACAGTTAGGTCAATAACTGGTGTTTGGAAGGGTACTGGTTGGCTCAGAGAGTAATTGTTATCAGGTAGTCCACTGAAAACCCCAAGTGTGGGGTGTGGAAGGGCACTAGCACTAGATGGATGGCCAGTATTTGGGCTGGGTCCCTGCATGTGCTGAGACTGTATAAACTGATTGTGGGGGTATTGCTTGCTGGAAATAGAGTCACTATGTGACACTGTGTGCTGTGGTTGCACAACAGTGATGGAATTGGTGGAATAGTGATCATTTTGAGGGACCAAGGTTTGGGAAGAACAGGACCCCCTGGTAGGAGGTAGGTTGGTGGGGGCTAGCCCCATCCCAAGTTGCCCCTGGTACAGACTGCAGGGGATTTGGGGAACTGGATAGGTATAGGGTGTTGCAGGGGCAGTGGGGTCTGGGCCCACGGTGACATGGCCCTGAGGCGGACTGCAGAGCGCCTGGGGTACTGGTGGGCTGGTGGGCACTGGCCCATTCGGCAAGTGTCCTGGTTGCAGGCCATAGGGAACCTGAGGTACTGGTTGTGGGGGAGGTATAGGTGGGCCGCTGGGTACTGGCCCATTCATAAAGTTTCCCTGTTGCAAGCTATTGGGAGCCTGAAGCAATGCACAGGAGTCAGTGGTGGAGACTTGGGGAGATGAGTAAATGACGGCTGCAGATGGAGGTGTGGTATCCATCTGAACAATATCTTCATCTGTGGCCGGCTGCAGGCTCACATGACAGGATACACTGGGGGCGGCTGTAGCCAAATCAGTGGTGGTAGTGTTAATGGGAAGTGGGACTACAGGAAGGGTGGAGAAGGGAAGAGGACAGGAATCAAGAGAAGTAGCAGTGTTAGATTCCTTTGTGCAGGGGAGAAGGGAATAAACAGGAAGGTAAAGTTTGGAGGAGAGAGAAGTGGTAGGAGTTGCAGCTCTCATTAAAGGAGCATGGTTTCCATTTTTATCATTTAGAACCCCTAGTTGAGAAGCTGGGGTACCAAAAGGAGGAGAGTCTGCAGGAGGAGCCAAAGAGGAAATGAGGATTTTAGGTGCTAGACCCTCGTTAGAGTTTGATGAGGGTGCTGGCACAATGTTGGCCCCAGCAGCCTGCTCTTCCACATTAGTGGTGTTGAGAAGAGCTGGGATGTTTAAAGTGCAGGTAGGCAGGGTCACGAAGACATAAGTCTCTGAATCAGATGGAGGAACAGAAGAGGCAGTGTTGATGTCACTGCCATCTGTCACTTCTGTTCTCCTCCCTGAGCATTTTGTATTACAGATTTTACTGTGAATAGACTGAGTGGTGTTACAAATGTCCACGTCTTTCTCCATGTCCATGCATGGAAGTTTAGGAGGTGGGGGAAGCTCACTGCCACCCCACTGTATTGGTACTGGCACAATCTCTGGCAAAGGAAGAGCTGATGGCAATGCTGCTTTCCTTTTGGATGCTCTGCGAGCTGCCAGATTTGGGGTAGTAGGGCTTGCTGGTGGTCTAGCTGTGGGTGTTTCAACTGCCACCCCCTTCACTGACTCCAGGGAGTCCTGTGGTGGACGAGCTTTGGGCTTTACATCCACTGCCCCCTTCGCTGACTCCTGAGAGTCTGGTAGATGAGCTCTGGGCTTTTCACTGTCCACCATCTTCGCTGACGCTTGGGAGTCTTGTGTTGGATAAGCTTTGAGCTTTTTACCCACTACCCCCTTCGCTGACTCCTGGGAGTCTGGTGGTGGACTTGTGGTTGGCTTTTTGCCCTCCACCACCTTACCTGACTCCTGGGAGCGTGAGCCATTCGGGGGTTCGTTTTCACCCAGCTTGTCTGCGGTGGAGCTTTGCGAGTTAGGAATGTCACAGCCATGAGATTGGGTAACTAGAGGAGACACAAGTACCTTTTCATTCCTTTCCACACTGGGAAGAGTCCCCGGCTGGGGAGTAAGGCAGCATCAATTGAGAGTAAGTCTCTCCTGATGGTCACAGAACGGCATGGTGCCTTTGCTCCATTGCTAGGTCTCCCCTCCCACTGGCCTGTCCCTGATGGTCTCCCTGAATTTTGAACTCACCCTCTTGGCCTTCAAACTCTGCGCTGCTTGAATCAGGAAGAGGGACGTCCCACGGCATCTTGGGCACCACAAGATGATTGCGCGGCCTGGGTGTTGCAATTCGAGGTGTGGACTCGAGCTGACCCGAAGGGGTGCTTGGGCTTCTGGGGGTTTCCAACCCCGAGTCTCCAGTTGGCAGCAGAGGCGCAGGTCTTTTTGGCGATCGCTCTGGAGACGCTGAAGGGCCCTGCCCCCGGGTGGTGTCCGAGGCCTCCGGCAGAGGGCACCTCCTCTTGGGGGCCCTAGGTGGACGGGCTGGTGGTGGCGCTGGCCTGGGAACCGGCCTGACCTTCCTACAGACAGGGCAGCGTGCAGGCTCGGGTCCTGCTCTGCGAACCCACCTCGGGAAGGTGAGGCCGCGCAGCTCAAGATACGATTTACTGACAAAGTTTCCCATGACGGGGAAATATGTGCGAATTATCAGCTATGAGAGGGAGGAGCAGCAGCAGCGATCCTTCTCCTCGGGTCGCTGAGGACGCACTGCCCAGCTTGGCCTCTGTGACATCACCTGCCCATTCCACAGACCATGCATGCATGCGGAGGGTGAGCAGCAGCCTCAAAGGAACGTTTGAACCCCACATTCTTCTGATGGTCACACAGATGCTAGTGGCCCAGGCAGCCCCTGGCCTCAGCATGAATTGGGAAAGCTCTCCGCCCATCTACCTCCTTGCAATCCTAGTATCTGAGTTACTATTTCCATAGTCCATCCAGGACCCTCCTCCACATTTCTTATCTACAGTGAGCACAAGCACTTGTCCACAGGCATTATCTACTCACATCAGGCTCCAGGGCACCAACTGTCATCACAGCTTCATGCCCCTCTCTCTTGGACTTGAATCTTGCACACTAAATGCATTTCGTTTAGGTGGAGGAATTCAACGGTGTCGTGGAATTCCTGTGGGCTTTTTGCCCCCCACCACCTTACATGATCCCTGGGAGTTTGATCAGTCTGGGAGTTGGGTTTCACCCAACCTGTCCTTGGCACAGCTTTGGGAGCTGGGGATCTCACAGGGTAACTACAAGAGACACGAGTATCTTTCAACATTGGGAAGATTTCCCTGCTGGGAAGTAGGGGAGCATCCACTGCATATCTCTTTGGATGTGTGCTAAAGAAATTCAGCAGCCTGTTATTCCATATAAATACCAAGCTAGTTTTCTGGTCTTTATGGAAGGTGTTGACAAATCATACGACTCATTGGTTTGCTAGCAAAGAACAGAACCTAATTTGGACTTTATGAGACACCAGTTGGGTGTACTGTTCAAGAACATTAGGGTCAAGTTAATATAAGTTTAGATTTCCTTATGCCCAAGACCAGAGTTCTCTTACTGGAGGTGTGGACAAGGGATATATACATAGGATGATTGAAAGAGTTATAAATTTCACCAAGATAAGTAAAATTGGAAAACACGTACCCATGACTTTGTCTTAGTTATATCTTGTTGGTTTGACTCCCTACATTGCAGTCATTGTCTCTCTTATAATTATTTGTGTCACCATTATGCAGAGATCTCAAATACATGAGTAACAGAAGGCTAATGAAGTATATATGTATATACACATACATATATTTATATGCATTTTCTTGAAAATAACATGAACACAAAATGCATATCTATCTGTCTGTCTGTCTGTCTGTCTGTCTGTCTATCTATCTATCTATCTATCTATCTATCTATCTATCTATCTATCTGTGTGTGCTGTTTTGTGTTTGAGTCAGGGTATTTAATTCATCATTCTCCTGCCTCAGATTCCCATGTGTCAGTATGCCCAATTTACTGTTTTAATTTAAAAATCTATTTAAGAGAACATTTACACATTGCACATAATGACAACTGTTGGTCATAACAACCATGAATTTAGCTTCAGGAATGTACGAATCTGATAGGTTTGAGAATTCCCACCAGAACACACTAGTATTTTTCTAATTGGTGACCTGGTGTGTGATTTCTGTCCACATCATCCCCACTGTTCTAGGAAACTGTCACAGTCTAAAAAGTAAGGAAACATAATATAAAATTACAAATAATTGGTCTAAAACTCTGAAATATTATTTCATAGAATGAGTATCAAAAGGCCTGACTTAAAATAAATTGATGACATGGAATTATATCTAAAAATGAAAGTCAAATTAGGAATGATATGTACTGAAGAGGTTTATATCTTTCATCTCTTTGTAAAAGAGAAAAAAGTGGCCTGCTAGAACTTGGAGAAGTTACTTATTCTCAGGTCACAGACAGCCAACAACCAGAGTCAAAGTCTGAAAACTCTTCTTTCAGATGTAAGTGCCCTGCAGGGTTAACTATGAATGGAAGGAAAATACAGGACAAACCAGGAAGTACAGGCTCTCACTTGTCATCCTAGCTACTCAGGAGAGTAGCCATCCTATAAAGAAAGGTTTACAAGTGTCTACCTCCAATTCACCAGCTAAAAGCCAGACTTGGGGAGTGGTTCAAGTGGTAGAGGGTCAGTCATGGACTGAGAAAGAGTGATAGATGAAACCCTGGCACTACAAGGCAGATGTAAAGCCTGTTTGTTGTTCTACAGTTCTGCAAACTTCAGTCACCATGGGACCATACATAAAACAGGGTTTGTGAAGGTTTATAATCATGTTTCAAATCATTGGGGTGACTAGAAACTGACAGTAGACTAGAGACAACAGTTTCATATATTATTTAATTCTTACCAATAAAAAGTGAGAACAGTCCATCAACTCCCTGAATTTCAAAGACAATGGTAGGATATTAATTCTAAGTTGAAAAAAGATGAAGGCACCCTGTAACTTTCCTGAGATAATATGTAAAACTGATAGACTTACTTTTGCCCCAATTCTCCCAAGTTCTGACTTAGAGCTCCTTTCTGGGTTTTCTTACCACTACTTGGATGGATATTATTTTCAACGACATGCACAAAGCTAGAGACTGCTGATACTATGGAACTTCCTTTCATCAAAAGCCCCTAAAGCAGCTCTGATAGTCTCACTAAATCTCTTCAAGCACAATGACAGCAAGGTATACTTAGGATACAAATAGTTTCCTGTTAATTAAACTTGTATATGAAATCTTCAGATTTTCACTATGATTAAACAGAGTAAATACATTTTTTAAATTTATTCACATAGAAAACAAAATGCTAGCTGAATTGAAACATTGTGCTAATCTTAGAGAGAATTTCAGTGATCACAGGAGAACTAGCTAGTGTTTTAAATCAAAATGTTCAACATAGTGGGCCTGAGTATTTTAACCTCGTCTCATGGTGTCCCTTCCGTGAAGTATGAAGCTCAATTCCTTCCTATTGAATTTAAGAGGGCCCTTCCTTCCTTCTTTCCTTTCTTCCTTCTTTTCCTCCTTCCTTTTTCCTTCCTTCCTTCCTTCTTTCCTTTTCTTCTCTTCCCTTCCTTTTCTCTTCCTCTTTTACGTCTTCCTCTTCCTTCTTCCTTCCTTTCTTTCCCTCTTGCTTCTCCAACTTCCCTTTTCCTATCCCTCTCCCCCTCTCTGTTTTTCTCCCCTTCCTTTCCTCCTTCTTTCCCCACTTTCATTTTGGGTCTGAGATCAAAGAACCCATGCTATATTAATATTTGTTGACTTTACAAACAATGCTAGACAATTCAAAGTGTTAAAAAATAAAGTTAAAACAGGACAAGAAACAGTCTTCAAATATTCAATACTAAGAGCTAGAAACAGCAAAGAGCTACTGTTGTTACAAGGTGGAGTAGAGAACAGGAGCAAACAATGTACTATGGTATTCACAAAAGCAATGAAATTAACTTTAGGAAGTATCATCCATGGCATATCAGCATCCTAAATAACATGGATTCTAGGTATGAGCCACCAGTGCCTAGTTATGTCCTTTTATATAGAGTTGCAATGATCAGGGTAGCTGCTCTTGCTTGTGGATTTAGAACTAAAATTCTTATTTTCTTTATTTCTATCAAGTACACAGCAGGAGATTTTAGTACATTATGTGGACATTTCTGTCCTCCATGCTCCATTTTTTTCCTCTTCTTTTTCTGACTAGTAGCTTGAAGAAAGATCTGATATGTCTAAGTAATTTTCTATTTTCTTTTCTTTAGATAGAGTGATTGTGACTGGCCTGGTTCTGAGGCTTGGACCTCAAAATTGTTTCTCCTTTGGCTTTCCTAAAGGAATCTGTAATCATTTTGATCCTGTACTAAAACAAACAAGTGTATTTTATACCTGATGCTCAACCTTGGAAGACATATGTGTTTCCTGTCTCTCTCACATGACATATTTTCTCTTGACTCAAAGGCTTTGCACATCCTTCCTGTGTTGACTGATAAAAGTCCTTTTTTAATTCCTTCTTCTCAGTTCTTGACATAAATGTTATCTCCTCAGACATATCAGCTCCTGGTGAAGCAACCCTTCCTCCATACTCCCTCATCTTCTCCTATTAAATATTCTGCTTTTAAATAGAATAGTATTTAGGGGTTTTTTGGGGTCCAGTCATGGGTCTTTGAACTCTGGGCCTGGACGCTGTCCTTCAGCTCTTCAGATCAAGGCTAGCACTCTACCACTTGAGCCACAGCACCACTTCCGGCTTTTTTTTCTGCTTATGTGGTGCTGAGTAATTGAACCCAGGGCCTCATGCATGCAAGGCAAGCTCTCTACCACCGAGCCACCTTCCCAGCCCTAGAATAGTATTTAGTACAAAGTTAGTGCTTAAGCATATCACATTCAAAATGTTGGAAATGGTATGTCACCTATATTTAACTACTATTTCTTTTTTGCCACACATGTTTGCTACTACTCACAAATGCAAGTGTGATACCTGGGAGAGAGCCTGGTTGGTGCCAGGCAATAACAATTTAAACTAAACCCTCTTCTTTCTAGCTATTACCCACCTGTGCAAGCAGCCCAACCTACTTTCTTTGCTTCCATTGCCAAGGCTTAGATGGGAAAACCCAGGGAGAACCTGAATACCACAATGCAACAGCCTAAAAGCAAACCACAAAACAAGACACTATCAGGGACTAGGAGGCAAAGATGATGTGGATGCTGCCCTGTCTCCCTAGAAACCTGGGAAGTGCTTCAAATCCTGAGGATCTGAGCATGCCCAAGAAAGAAATGTTTGATAAATAAACTGATATCATTCTGTCCTTTCATCTGAGAAACTCATCCAAGGTCAAGCATAGTGTTACAGATAGCTCTAGGGTCATGTCATCCAACACAAAAATAACTCTTTTACCATATCAGGCACTTATAGTTCATGCTACCTTTTCTGTGAAAGATCTTCCACTTTATTTCTGAGGTTAGAAGTATATTTCATTTATTTTAAATCCAGAGAGAAAAAAAATGAACATCCACATTGCACACATTAGAACATATAGAATATTTTTTAATCAGAACCCTTTCACAAGTCTTGCCATTTTCCAAATCCAA